TCAGATCTCAGCCTCCTGAGTAGCTAGGATTACAGGCGTGAGCCACCAGTGCCCGGTCTCCCTGAGACTCTTACCTCAAATTAAGCACCAAAACTGCTGGAAGTGGAACTGTGGATTAAGTGGGAGAGTGCTAGCCTTGAACATAAAAGCTCAGGACAGCACCCAGGCCATAAGTTCAAGCCACAGGGCCAGCACGTGCGTGTGGGTGCACGCGTGCGCTCACACACACACACCTCTTTTATCTTCTTGTTTGAGTAATAGTTACTGAATTATATAGTCTATGGACTGATCCCATTGGGCTTACATCTTGTTTTTGTAAATAACATCGGTGTTGTTTATTTATTATGTGCCAGTACTGGGGCTTTAACTCAGGGCCTGGGCATTGACCCTTAGCTTTTTCACTCAAGGCTGGCACTGTACCACTTGAGTCACAGCTCCACTTTCTTATTACTATTTTTTTTAACATTAACTATTTATTTAGTAACATATTTCTCTCTACTACATGTTGAAGAGTTGCTTTGGAGACTGTCCTAGAAAACCTAAAATACTTGTTGATACCTTTAAAAAGATGTTTGTGGACCCATGTTCTAAGGGAATGATCATGTTATAGCTTGTAGTTTCATGATACAGTTTGAATTCGTTTTTGTGTCACAGTGAGGCGAAAGTCTATGTTTTAATTATTCTGCATATAGATATACAACTGCCTCAGTACCATTTGTTGCAAAGACTGTCCTATGTGTGATGGTCATTTTCTTCTGTTGCTTCAAGATCTCTTTGCCTTTGTTTGCAGTAGTTTAATCACTAGATTAGGAGGATCTCTCTGTTTATTCTACTGTAGATTTGTTGAATTTCTTAGATTTGTAGGTTACCGTTTTTCATGACCTGAGAAAATTTTCAGCAATTTTTTTGTAATAGTTTTACTGTATCCTTTTTGGCACCCCCATCACATATATGCTTGTATGTTTGATATTATTTATGCCTCCAATCCTTTTCATTTTTCCAATATTTTTCTGTTCTGCTGATTGCATAATTTCTATTTTTAAAATTTACTTTGGAGGCGGGATCTTACTGTGTATCCTAGACTAGCTAGCAATTTTCTGTGTATCCCAGGCTGGCTTCAAACTCTTAAGCCTCCTGTTGTAGCCTTCTGAGTATTGGATTTCAGGCATGCATAACTACAACTGGCCTTTTAAAATATGTTTAATTTCATTGCCATTGTAATACCACTTCTGCTCTTTAGAGCACCTAGTAAATTTTCATTTCACCTATTGTACTTTTCAACTTTTAGTTACTACTAAAAAAATAGTTTGCATTTTGATTATTTAATTATTTTGATGCTGGTCCTGGCACTTGAACTCAGTGTTAGGGCACTGTCCCTGAGCTTCTTTTTGCTCTCGGTTAGAACTCTACTTCCAGTTCTTTTGGTAGTTTAATGGTGATGAGTCTCATAGGCTTTCCTGCCTGGGCTAGTTTTGAACCAGCATCCTGAGATCTCAGTTTCCTGAGTAGCTAGGATTACAGATGTTACCCACTGGGCTCAGCTAACTATCTTGTGCCAGTAAGTCTTTCCCCTTCTGTTGTTGGAATATGTGTGCTTTGGACAGAGCATTCATAGTTCAATCTGTTTTCATGTCCACTTCATTTCATTTCTATTGGGTTGTCTTATGACTTCTTGTGTGTCTCCTTCTGTTTCTGTCCCCCGCTCCCCCTTTCTATATCCTACATGCAGTTTTTCTATCATCAGGGGTATGTAGCAAGCTAGATCACTCTAAGTTTCTTGTAGCAAGCTAGATCACTCTCAAGTTTCCCCTTTGCAAGGTCAGGCTCCCAGTCAACTAGACTTTTATTTGTCATACTGGGGTTTAATCTCAGAGCTTGCCTAGCTTGTTGTTTGGCTGATGCTGTACCACTTGAGCCATACCTCCAGTCCTGCTTTTAGCCTGGTTATTTTATATTTTGTTAGCCGTGGGGCCTGAACTCTGGGCCTGGGTACTGTCCCTCAGTCCAAGGCTCACACTCTATTACTTGAGCCACAGCTCCACTTCCAGCTTTTTCTGCTTATGTGGTGGTGAGGAATTGAACCCAGGGCCTCATGCATGCTAGGCAAGCGCTCTACCACTGAGCCACCTTCCCAGCCCCATGCCTGGTCATTTTAAAGATGGAGGTTCATGACTTTTCTGCCTAGGTCAGCTTCTAACCAAGATCCGTGAGATCTCAGCCTCTTGAGTACTTAGGAATAAGCATGAGAAACCTGTGTCTGGCATCATTTGGAATTTTTATTTGAGCTTGTATCCTTTGGGGGGTCTTACTTGCACATACATGAAGTCTTAAGTTGTGTATAGTTGCTCAGGATTTGTGAAAACTGTTTTTCAAGTTCTTCAATTTTTCATTTTCTGATCTCCTTGTTAATTTCTTTCTTTTCCCCTGGTTTTTACTAATTTTTTGATTTATTATATATATATGTATACATATATTTTTTTTGTGTGTGTGGGGGCGTTGGTCGTGGGGCCTGAACTCAGGGCCCTGGGCTCTGTCCCTCAGCTCTTGGCAGCTCAAGGCTAGCACTCTACCACTTAGAGCCACAGCACCACTTCCGGTTTTTCTGCTTATGTGGTGCTGAGGAATTGAACCCAGGGCCTCATGCATGCAAGGCAAGCACTCTACCACTGAGCCACCTTCCCAGCCCTATATATTTCTTTTTAACACGTATTTTTTTGTTATTGTAAAGGTGATGTACACTGGAGTTATATAAGTCAGGTAATGAGTACATTTTTTTTTGAACATTCTTGTTAATTTCTAGGTAGTCCATGTTTGCTTAGGCTAAAGAGCTAAAAAGGTTTTTATTTTTCCACCTGGTGTGACTTTTCTGCTCTGTGTTCCAAGTGGAAGTTATCCTTTTTTGGCAGTGAAGCCACTAGTTTTCATAGTGTCACCTTGATGGAACTTGTCCGTCTGTTGATCGTGAGTAGTGGTTGGAGGCAGCTCCTGGTATGATGCTAGATTAAAACTGTTCTTATCAAGAAGTTGGTTGATTTAGCATTATAAAAATGGTTATTTTTCAAGGTTTATTCAGTTTTATAATAGTTTTCTGGAGACAAATTTTGTACTTCTTCTGAAGTCAGTCTTTAAACTTGGATTTTAAAATCTAACATTTCAAAATCATGCATTATCTGTCAAGATAGAGAACAAGTTTTTATTTATTTATTTTAAAGGGTGGTTATAAAGAGGATTGAATAGGTAAGCTTTGATTCAAGCCATGTGTTTTGACAGAGGATCAGACTTTTCCTTTTTAGAGACAGGGTTATGAGCTCAATTTGAGGTTAACTGCTGTGGATGTCTTAGAGAGGAGACCTGTTGTTCCTGAAGAGTGAATCATCTATCATTGATAATGCACCTTCCTAAAGTATTTTTCTCTTAAGTAACAATTTTAAGAAATAGATTTTGCAAGTATAGTCATTTTTACAGATAAGAAAAAGTTCTCAGTTTGGATCTTACCTATACTTACTTGTGGAGTAGGATGGAATTTGAATCCATACTTTTCCTGGCTTCTCCTTTTTCTTCATATTTTATTGTAACTACTTCTCTACCATCTCATAATTACTTGCAGGCTCTTTGATGATCGATACTTTTACATGTAGGTGCTTCTTCAGGTTAGAATAATTTGTGGCAATCTTCCTAAATTTTTTCCTAAAAACTGAAATTCTTTTCTTTTAATTAACAATCACCTTTAACTAAATGAGAGGTCCCTATTTGTTCTTGACAGTTATTTAGCAAACTAGTAAGAGTTACAGAATGAGATATCCATGGCAGCTTCCTCTGCCAGCTTCCTTTTTTTTTCTTACTCCATAGATGCAGATTCTGCCCAAGAAGCCCCTGCATTGCAGAGGGACTGGAGATCTGTATGATCTGTTTATTTCGCAATTGACAAGGGTAAGGGGGCTTTTGTGGGGGAGGTGCTTGGGTGCCCTAAATTTAGCTGTAAGTAGCTTAGCCAATATTTATTTGGGGAACACTTAAACTTAGTATTTTAAAATAGCCTTTAATGAACTTTGTCCTTTATCAGATTATCATATTGAAGTATCAAATTATCATATTAAAAAGCAGTTATTATAGTGGTGGTTTTTTTAAAGACCTGTTCAGAACAAGTCAAACATGGTTCATATTTCTAAGATTTCTAATGTAGGATCATTGGGACTATAAATAATATTGTATTTATATATAAGTAAAATTTCAATGTAATAAATTTTTACAAATGTTTTACATAAACAGCACATCATAGTTTCTCTTTATTAATCTGCCTGCTCCTTTCTATGAATTTGCCAATCTGTAGAGTAAAAAGAGGGATTTGTGAATATGCCACGAACATTATGGGTATGGGTATGGTGTCTTCTTACTGTTAGAGATTAATACTTTGTTTATTCTGGATGTCAATGAAATTTGAGTTGTACCTTGAGGCTGGCTTGTATCTGATCATTAGGCTAAATGTAAAAGTGCCGTTTGTGAATGTTACGGGAACCAGGATTAAGTTTTGTTAAGCTTTACTTGGTTGACAGGGAAGTAAATGCCCAAATGATACTATTTGTAATAGGTGAGAAATAGTTTTAATGCTTGTTGAAAATTACTGGAGGATTTGTTTAGGTGATTGTAGTCTCAGTCAATAGTTGGGAAGCTTTTAGTTGGTAATGGATTGATGGGCTTATTTTGGTTTGAAAATATTATTACACTTGATAGTAAAATAGCTTTGTTTCCTAAAGTAGCATATATTTTTGTTAGTTCAATAGATTCTTCTTTTAGTTATCTGTTCCTTCTTATGTTTTTATATTAGCTTCTGTTGACATTTAACTTATAGGCTTTAAGAATTCAAAAGCAACAATATATGTTATTACCACTGCTAATAAATATTCCACTTTCTAGTGTCAACACATCTGCAAATCTATTTTTATTCTTAAAATATCTTAAATGACTTTTATATATATATTTTTTTTTCTGTTTTCTTTAAGCCATAAGGATGAGTTTACCATTATTCCTGTACTGGTTGGAGCTCTGAGTGAGTCAAAAGAACAGGAATTCGGAAAACTCTTCAGTAAATATCTAGCGGATCCTAGTAATCTCTTTGTGGTTTCTTCTGATTTCTGCCATTGGGGTAAGTTCTAGATTTTAACATATCATGGTAGATACTATATACTTGTCGTTAAAGGTATCTTTTTCGAAGCTTTAATTTTCAGTTTCTTAAATTATTTTCTTTTTTTGCAACAATGTTTAAAAGTCTTTTGGTCATTTATAATGGATCAGACTATAAAAGTGGATTAAGGCCACATTTCCAAAGGCGACTGGTATAATTGGATTCACACTGTGAGGGCATTCTTGCTTTAGGAACTTGTCAGTGGGAATGATGACTTTTTGGCCCATTTCTATGTTGGCGTGTATGGTAGATTTTTTGAAATTGGTTTTGGTGGGCAAAACATGTTCTGTAGAATGTGGAAGAGCAGTATGTACTTTGCTGGTCCTTTCTCAGATTTGTTTTGTTTTCTTTCTTTCTCTCTTTCCTTCCCTTCCTTCCTTCCTTCCTTCCTTCCTTCCTTCCTTCCTTCCTTCCTTCCTTCCTTCCTTCCTTCCTTCCTTCCTTCCTTCCTTCCTTCCTTCCTTCCTTTCTTTCTTTCTTTCTTTTGGTAATTAGTCCCTCTTCTATTTTTTGGTGATTGTTCTTTTGCCCACAATTACGATCAGTGTAGATATACATTCTGAAGATTATACCATGTTGGCTATTACTACTATGGTCTTCACTGATCATGAATATAACAATAAGGAAGGTGATTTTTAAAAAATGATTATAGTGTATTAAGAGTAAGGATGCTTCATGGTGAATAAAGGAAGCAAGACATTGCTAATGGCTATTTTAAGCAAACCATGTTTCTACATTCTTTGGATGCCATTTCCTCTCATTTATCCATTACTGTTCCAGAATATTTCTAAGTTCCATTCCTCTGACATCATCTCTTTGATCTACTTAATTCACTATTTTAAGGATGCCAGTATATGTTGATTCATCAGTTATTAAAAGAAAACCTAAAACACAATAATATACTTTTAAAAATAAAAGTGTTAGAAGGCTAGAAAAACATCTTGAGTGTGAGTGACAGTTAACACTTTGTTTCCTAGCTGTCTCAACACTGATTGCCAGATTTGATTAGATTTTGATCTGGCTTTGTTAGGTCCTCTTACATCCTTCTCTGACTGGCCTTCTTATTGTTGACGTCTTAGTTCAAGACAACTATATTGTATGGAGATATTGACAAGTTTTGTTTGGATTTAGGGCACTGATTTTTCATTAGGTATGGTTTTCTTCCTAGGGAGTATTTGATAATGCTTGAAGACATTTTATTTGATCATCACAACTGGGATTGGGTTTGAGGGATGGTGATGCTGCTGATATCAAATGAGTAGAGTCCAGGGAAGCTGCAGATGAGCATCCTATAATACACAAAGAATTTCTCTGCACTCCAACCAAATAATTGCTAGCCCAACATATCAGTAGTACAAAGTTGAAAAGCCCAGATTGAAGGTGTGCAAAAAGCTGAGCTTCTTTGTGCACCTTCTGGAGTTTAGAATTCTTTAATAATTGTTGGTTAGTTAATATGTTACGTTTGGCAAAAGCCATTTTTTATAATTGTAAGTATAATACTTACCTCTGAGGGCCCAAATAGATGGTTAGAAAGGAGTTTTTTTTTTCTTGTGAATTTAGAAATTTTGTGATAATTGATAGTAGAAGCTAAGGAATATTATGGAAAAAACTACTTTAGTATTGTGTTGGTAATGCATGTTTTGGAAATTATGAATTTTAGGGCAAGTACCCTGTCTTCCTTCATTTAGAAGGCTCTTATGAACTACTTCATTTCCTCTGATAAAGTTCTTTAGAATCTGAGCTCTTGCTCTTAAGTTGTCATCACAATGTAACTCTCCCTTAAACATCAGTGGACACTTTGACATTGCTATTTCAGGGAACTCATCCCTTTTACCTCATTCCTAAAGAAATTCTAAAGCCAACAAATCCTACTCCATTGTCCATAACTACAATTGTTGAGAGGGAAAAATAAAATTTGAGAACTTTAAAGACATTTTATCTTCTGGCTTCTTAAATATTTTGAGGTTTATATAGTTAAGATAGTATTTCAAGGTGATAGATGCAAAAAACAAAAAAGAGAACATCTTGACATTTCCAAAGGCTGATATTGATATCTATGAAAATTCCAAGTTATATTTACCTTTGGTGGTAAGTAACGAAGCTGTCCTGTGTTCAGTTTGTAGTGGCACCATCACCCGTAATGGTTGGTATTAACTTTGTACCTTCAGAAAGCCCTATGCTAATTCTAAGAATTTTGAGGAGAGTATGGGGTCAGTTCAGTGAGACAGTGACATGGGTACTGTTTCAAAAACGATCATGTCCTTGCCTTCATACTACTGTAATAGTAATTGCCATTATTGTAGATACATTTTCTGTTTTGTCTACTTGTTGAAGTTATATGGCTCATTGGTCAGCTATAGGTCAAGATAGTAATGAAATTCTGTGTTTCTCAAATTTAAGGTCCATGAATATTGGTCATTTTTCTAAACTTAATAAGTATGCTGTATTACCTTAAATTTCAGCTTCTCTTTAGGCACCAGTGGTTTACATCAATAATCCTAGTTACTCAGGAGGCTGAGAGCTGGAGGTCTGTGGTGCAAGACCAGCCAGGGCAGAAAAGTTCACTAAATTCCAGCTCCAAAATAACAGTATTAGAGAGCCACCTAGCAAGCTTGAGGCCCTGAGTTCTAACCTCAGTACCACTAGGAGCAAAAAAAATAAATAAATAAGTAAATAAAATGATCTTACAATACTTAGGGTTTTATTTTATTTTATTTTTTGAGATGGGGTCTTGCTAGCCCTGACTGGCTCTCTATGTGATTCTCTTGCTTTAGCTTCCCTAGTGCTGGGTTATAGGTATAAACCACCATATCTAGATTTTCTTTTAAAAAAGACACTACTCAGATTGATTTTATTTTTATTTTTTTGGTGCCAGTCTTGAGTCTTTAACTCAGGGACTGGGTGCTGTCCTTGAGTTCTTTTTGTCCAAGTAGTGCTCTAGTACTTGAGCCACAGCTCTACTTCCTGCTTAATTTAATTTAATTTATTTATTTTTGGTTGGTCATGGGGCCTGAACTCTGGGCTTGGGCGCTGTCCCTCAGCTCTTCAGCTCAAGACTAGCACTCTACCACTTGAGCCACAGCACCACTTCCGGCTTTTTCTGCTTATGTGGTTGGTGCTGAGGAATGGAACTCCGGGCCTCATGCATGCAAGGCAAGCACTCTACCACTGAGCCACCTTCCCAACACTTCCTGCTTTCTTTTAGTGATTAATTGGAGATAACTATAGTATCAGTGACTTTCCTTCCTAGGCAGGTTTTGAATCATGATCCCCAGATCTCAGCTTCCTGAGTAGATAGGATTACAGATGTGAGATACCAGTGCCCTGTCTTCAGATAGATTTTTTTTTTACCATGTAAAAAAATAATCATAACATTGAACTCTAAAAATTTCACAAGATGAAATCAGTTCCTTAAATACACAGAGACCTTAAAAGGTTTATTGAGTTTGGCCTTTAAAATAAACCACAATTTTGGGTTGGGAATGTGGCTTAGTGGTAGAGTGCTTTCCCAGCATGCATGAAGCCCTGGGTTTGATTCCTCAGTACCACATAAACAGAAAAAGCTGGAAGTGGTGCTGTGGCTCAAGTGGTAGAGTGCTACCCTTGAGCACAGAGAGGCTCAGGGACAGCGCCCAGGACCTGAGTTCAACCCCTAGGATTGACAAAGACAACAACAATGTAAAAACCACAATTTTAAATTGCTTATATTTGAATTAAAAAATAGCATAGTATTCTTGACAAATAACTTAGATATAAATAGTGGAAGTTTGTTTTTATTGATTGAAGGCCAGATAGAGATAGGAAACTAGATCCTGTTTTCTCCTTTCTGTCACTCAGATTGAGTTCTCCAAAATGAAGCCCTGAATTTGAATTCCTGCCTTTTATCATTCTTCCTCTTGTGGAAGAGCAATGTTTCTTAGTTAACCTGATGTTCTTACCTCAATTGATATTTGCTGTTAAGTAAGTTGTTCCCATATTTGGTCTAATAACTAAGTTCTACATTCTTTTATTTTAGTCTTATTTTAGTCTTCCAATTAATAGTTTTTACTGTTTCCCCAAGTCGTCTCCATATTTACTGTTAATTTTGGTGTTTTCCCGAGTCTCTAAAATCTTTATTCCCAACTTTAGATTGTTGATAGCTTTGACATAATTTTTCACTTTTCTTTGGTGCTAATCCTGGGGCTTGAATTCAGGACTTGGGCACTGTTCCTGAGCTTTTGTACTCAAGGCTAGTACTTTAACACTTGAGCCACAACTCCACTTCCAGCTTTTTTTGTGGTTAATTGGAGACAGGAGTCTCCTGGATTTTCCCAATAGGTCTGGCTTCAAACCTGGAACCTTAGATCTCAACCTTCTTCTTCTTCTTGGACTCTGGGCTCTGGCCTGGGCTCTGTCCCTCAGCTCTTCAGCTCAAGGCTAGCACTCTACCACTTGAGCCACAGTGCCACTTCTGGTTTTCTGGTGGTTTATTGGAGATAAAGGTCTCATGGACTTTCTTGCCCTGGCTGGATTTGAACCACAATCTTCAGATCTCAGTCTCTTGAGCAGCTAGGATGACAGGTGTGAGCCACCAGTGCCTGGTTAGATGTTCATTTTTTAAGAGTGAAATCATAGGGTTTGCCAGAGTGGCTCAAATGTTAGAGCCTTGTAAGCATGAGGCCCTAAGTTCAAACACCAGTAAAAAGAAATTTAGAAGTGGAGTTAAGTGGCTGTTTGATTTGCTTTTTTGATAATTTTGCAAATCATTTTCACATGGTATACTTACTAAATGATAAAGCTATTGTGTTATTTTGTTAAGATATGAGTAATGTTTGTCATAATTTTTTTTGTTAACAAAAAAGCAACTTTATTGAGAAGATTGTTTGTCATAATTTTTATACAAGTATGTGCCACTTAAATGGCCTTACCCTAAGTATTTATGAAGTTTATATCATTATTCAGATCTCTTTTGTAATACGTATTGATGAATGATTCAGTATTCTTTCTATTAGTCTTTTGGATACAAGGATATGATCATTCTTTAAATATTTAAATTGATCTCAATGCAAGTTAGCCTATTCCTAAAGTGTATCTTATTTATACCTTTACATTTATCTTCTCAAATCTTTGTACATTCTGATTCCCCAGATTAAGAAAGGTGTGCTTACATTATGACTAAGCCTACAGCATGATGGAAGGACAGCATTTAGTTTTCAGAAATGATTTTGAACCTCATTGGTAATACTTTACTGTCAGTGAGATTTCAATTATGACTGTCCCAAGTCAGAACCTTATTGTAGAAATACCAGATAATATATCTCACTGATTTTTGTTAGATTTCAAATATTTGAAAAGGCTTAATTTATTAACCAAATGATGAAATAAATATACATAGTGCAATATTTATTGGGCTTACTTCAGAAAGTCTGTCTCATTGATCTTTTGGGGCTTTATAGCTCAAGTTTCTACAGTTGCTTATTTCTGTAGTCTAGTGCATAGCTTAATGTGAGATGTTTTCTTTTCTTTTTTCCCTTTTGTTTTGAGATATTTAAAAAAGTAGCATTGGTTCTTGTCCCATCCATTGTTGTTTGTCCTCATTAGTTGATTGTTGTATGTGAAACAGACATCCCTGGAGCTACTCTCCACACTCTGTGAATCCACTCATTAATCACCAGTCACCTTTGGAGATAGGAAAATTACTTACCTGTATTTCTTTTTCTCAGAAAGCGTGCTCTGGAATGGATTCACAAATGAGCTACCCTCCTTCCCTCAAAGAGTAAGGTTTCTGCTTTACAGGATTTTTTTCTTGGGTTATTTTTCCTCTCATCTTTTGAATTTGAAAAGAACTGAGGGAAGGCACCTGAAGAAACTACTGACATACTCACTAGGGGAGTTCCAAAGCTTGTCCTGCCCCTAGGGCAGTGTCAGTGGCTCTTAAAGCTAGAAAGCTCATACTTGGAGTTGAAACAGGGGCTCAAAGAATCCATTTTCCCAGTGTACCTTCTGAAAGGATAAGTTTCAGGTAAGTAATTTTCGTTTACTATGTGATATGCTTTATTCATTCTTAGAAAAGTACACAAGTCCAGGTCTTCAAGTACAAAGGCAACTGTATTTATTCATTGTTAGAGTCATAGCATTCCTGAAAGTCAGAAATATGAAAACTTACATGATAAAGTATATTTACCTATAAGATACATGAAATTATATTTTATTTTAGATGACATGTAAATACTTAAATCTATCCTTATCATTAGTATATTAGGGCTGTGATTTTTGCAATAAACCTTGAAAACTTACGATTTTAATAATAAAAAAGTAGAAAATGGCTTTTGAACACAATTTCCAAGCAGTAATTGATTAATGTGTGCGTGATTGCATGTACACGTGTGTATGCAAGTACACATAGGGACACACATATAATACGTGCATGTTAAAGTAAGATGATTGCAATTGTTTACATCAAATTAGATGCTCTCTCTACTGGCCAGAATTCACTACTCAGAAAATTTTAAATATTTGTATAATTTTTAAAAGTGGTCCTGAGACAGCATGAGCATTTAGATGTAAATTATTTATCCAGGGTAGTAATTACATGTGCTGTGGACATAGCCTCTAAGTTGATACAAGCTCTTCCTGTTTGTATTTATTTGTATATTTGAGCTTATTTGTGCTTAAATTTTCAGCTGTTAAGTGTGAGGTGGTTATAAAAGAGTAACAAAAAGTATATAGTAAAATATTAAGCATTTGCACAAATTTGCTTCCTTTGTTGTCATTCTCATTAGATCACACAATAATGCATCTTAAATCATTTCAAACATCCTATATACTTTTCCTTCAGTAATAGTTTTAAATGAAAGTTAAATAGAAAACCACTATATTGGTAGAACAAGATAGCACTTAAAAAGATTGTTACTTTTTTTTTTTAATTGGTCATGGGGCTTGAACTCTGGGCCTGGGCACTATCCCTGAGCTCTTCAGCTCAAGGCTAGCGCTCTACCATTTGAGCCACAGCGCCAGTTCCTACTGTTACATTTTTAAGTTACAGTTAGGCAGATTACCATTTGAGACAACAGCTGTGAACCTGGAAGTAAGCGGAGGTAGACTATTGAGTAGCAAAGGACTTTTACATGCAGTGTGCATTTTTCCTTGGATCTGAGAGTAAGTCTTCAGATAAGACAGTTATGGCCAGTCACAAGATTTACTGACAGTACCTAAAACAAAGAGCAATTTCTGGAAACAGGGAAAAAGTATTAGCAGAAACCTGAAGTAGTTCAGGTTCAAAGAATCGGTGTATTACCTTGATTTCCTTCAAGAATGTTAATTCTTACTCTGGTGACAGTGATTCAGAATTTTCTTAATGTAAGCTATTAATTTAGCCATTTTTTTTCTTTTACCAATGTTACTGGGCAGCTTTATAAAAATAATTTTGAAATAAAAGTGAAAAGTTTTGTACCAGTGAATGAATCAGTAAATTACTGAGTTAGTAAGAACTTTAGATTTGGCTTTGAGCAGCCTCTGACAACCACCTGGCAGGAGGGAAGAATAGAGGAAGGTAATTTTCGTTACTAGATAGAGTGTATACCTGAAAAAAACAAAGGCTGTTACTAGCTCTAAATTTTGAAAGGAAGATCTATAGAGTATTTAAAAGATTTTGATGGATACATTATCACTTTTTTTTGGGGGGGGGGTCCGGTGGTGGGGCCTGAACTCTGGGCCTGGGCGCTGTCCCTTAGCTCTTCAGCTCAAGGCTAGCGATCTACCACTTGAGCCACAGCGCCACTTCCGGCATTTTTCTTTTTGCTTATGTGGTGCTGAGGAATCGAACCCAGGGCCTCATGCATGCAAGGCAAGCACTCTACCACAGAGCCACCTTCCCAGCCCCTCACCATTATTTTTTTATTTTTATTTTTTAAGAATTATTAGTTGGGTGCAGTGGCTCAAACCTATAATCCTTGGGAGGCAGAGGTAGAGAAGGTTTCAGTCTGAGGTCAGTCTGGGCAAAAAGCCAATGAGATCCTATTTCAACAGCAAAAAGCTTGGTCATACAAGCTACACAGGAAGCATAAATAGGCCTAGGCTGGCCCAGGACAAACAGTAATACTCTATTCGAAAAATAACTATTAAGTAAAGGGGCTGGGGAGGTGGTTCAGTGGTAGAGTGCTTGCCCTGCATGCATGAGGTCCTGGGTTCGATTCCTCAGCACCACATAAGCAGAAAAAGTTGGAAGTGGTGCTGTGGCACAAGTGGTAGAATGCTAGCCTTGAGCTGAAGAGCTCAGGGATAGTGCCCAGGCCTAGAGTTCAGGCCCTGGGGGTGCGCGCGCGCACGCGCGCGCATACACGCACACACGCACACACACACACACACACACACACACACACACAAAAAGGTTGAGGATGTCTCTCACTTGCCTACCCAGCAGGTGGCTCTGAATTCAAACCTTAGTACTGCTTTTCCTTCCCTGTTATTTTGGTTCAGAGGCTATAGTCGATCTCATGTCTATGGCAACATATAGTAACCCTTACTGTCATACTTATAAAGCAGATACTACTGTACACCCTATTGCCCAACTCAAGGGTATTGTCAGTTACAAATTATATTGATTTAATAATAATGTTTGGAGAAAATTAATAGTTGCTACATTGAGTGTGTGTGTATATATATATGGAAAGTTAAAATGTGAAAATTAAGGAAACATTTTAGAAAGGTGAATGTTAAAGATGATTAAATCAACAAGGTTAAATTATATCAAATGTGGATTTAAAAACGAAAGATGTAAATGAGGGTTTATAATTGTGCACTAACCATTATTTCTGTGGTAGTATTTTTAGTAAGATATATAAAAGTTGAAAGGCTGTAAAAATTCTACCTAAAATCTCATATTCTCAAGTGTGAGGACAATAATTGGATATATTAATAGTGATTTAAATATGAAGCCTGAGGCACATTGTGTATGGACATGGGCTAATACTCCTAATATCATTAGAAATGTTTTTGGCGAGTCTTTAAAAATGATACACTATAAAAATAATAGAGTAAGGTAGATGTAGGTGTATCTGAAATATATCTCACTCATTTATGGATATTAACTTTTGAATTTCATATGAGTACACAGGAAAAAAGTATATTTTGAAATTTGCTTTCTGTCTTCTTTTTAAATTTCTTTCATTGTGACTTATGTTCTTTGCAGAACAGCTAAACATTTCATATTTTGGCCTTGTGGTCTTGCTGAGATATTTTATCCATGTAGGACTATTGTATTCTATCTTTTGTATGTCTTGTTCACATCCATAGGGCACTCATATTGAACTTTTTATAAGTAGTGCAAAAATGAAATACTTAAAAAATTGAGATAATAAAAATAAAATAGGCCACAAGTTTTGCTGACCTACACTTTTTTTCGGTAATAAAGATCAAATCTCTACATTTATATAGCAGAAACAAAACTTTCATTGATTTCTTATTCTGAGATAGTTTTCTTAAACCAAATTTTCTTTGGGTTTACCTTCATTGTAGACTGATAGAGTATTTAACAATGCTTCTAACTTTTAAGCTGTTTGCTTTCTTAACCTTGTATTGCTGGTGACTTTCAGGTTCCTACAGTATGAAGTAGTTTTAACATCATGAAACACTGGTGATATATCATTTCTTTATTACCTTCCCAAATATGCCTATTACTTTTATGTTGAGGACTCTTGGGAATGGCTCTCAGAGGCTTTGTCTTTCATGACAATTGAAGTTATTTGGTAAGCGCTTGCTTTCTTTTTAGCTTCTAATTTTTCCCTATTTTATTTTGTACATGATATTTGTTTCAAGGTCAAAGGTTCCGTTACAGTTACTATGATGAATCCCAGGGGGAGATTTATAGATCCATTGAACATCTAGATAAAATGGTAAGTCTTTCAGGTGTGGGGTTTTAATGCTTTAAGACATTTTCTTTAATTTTAGATTAGTGATTCAAGACTGAACATGTTAAATATACAATGGACTAACAATTCTTTCCCTATCTTTAATTAAAAGTACAAATTCAATGTTTATTGACATGGTGGTACTGGCCTATAGTCACAGTACTGGGTGGCTGATGCAGGAGGATTGCCAGTTTGAGGCCAGCCTGTGTGTGTGTGTGACCTTGTTTCAAAAGAACCAAACAAACAGAAAAACAGTGCAATTTGTCCTCACATTATTATTGACTATAATAATAATAATTACTTTCCTACTGGTAGATCATTGCTTCATCATAATTTTGAGTAATGAGTGTATTTAATAAAAATTTTGTAGATATGGATCTTATCTATTTTTTTGGAGAAGCATCTTAGTAATACTAAGATATTACTCTTAATACTTGTTAAGCGGTAGCAAGCATAGCAGACAATCTCTGATTGCTCTAAATACTCATTTTGAGAGATTTTAAATGGATTATTGTTTGTTACATTTTAGTAACTTGGTATTTTTTTTTAAAGTTTAGTTGGTTATACGGAAAACTGTTCTTGGTCTTGAGTGATGGTGAAGATTTTGTGAATTAGTTGATGAAGTCTGTGCCCTATCGCATATAATAATAGATGAAGACAAGAAAGTAAATATTAAAATCTCATTATTTTATCGACATTCTTGTTTTTTCCATTATCACCTTTTTTCTTCTCTAAATACTGACATTCTAGGTCTCTGATGATAGGATAAAGGAATTCCAGTATATCCAAAATAAGCCAACTTAAGTCCTGGATGCTAAACTAAAGCAATTTTTATAAGTACTTTATTTTAATATTTTAATTTTTAAGTTAAAGTCTTTTTTGTTTGGAATCATATTGGACTTCTCTTTCCAGTTCTTCTCAAAATAAATTTAGTGAAATTAATTTTAACCAGAATAAATTTGAGCCTTAGTGTTATTATATATTGAACTAAATTCTTGTTTTGACTTTTCATTTATCAGTGATCTAAAGCCTATTATGACTTGAACTTTTAATTTTCTATTGCCTGTAGCCTATATCTACTATGTTAACTACAGAAATTAAAAAAGAGAAAAGCCAAATAAGGAAAAAGAATTACTTTTATAAATATAGAACATTGTTTTTCACTTGCCTTTTGTTCTTCCCATAAATTTTAGCTTATTATTTTATATTTCGATTATTTTGATTTTACCTAAATAGAATTACAGTTTGTTTTTGTAAATACAGAAATTCAAAGTATAATTGTATTCTTACCTATTCTGGGAGTATAATAGACATTGACTCTAGTGTCATTTTTTTTTTTTGAGTAGTATGGTAGTCCTTTTAATTTTTAGTTTTAAAAAAGTCTCACAAGTAATTTTCCTTTTCTACTTATAAACATACTCAGTATAACAAGATTGTCACTAATTTATTCTCTTACCTTTGACAGATCATTTAGCTCTCTTATTTTCAGTTCCTCATCTGTAAGGACAGACACTTGGACTAAATGATCTGTAAAATATTTTTAAATTCTATTATAGATATGTCATAAAGTATTATAGCAGTGCCATGACTACAGATTACCTTCTTAAAGACATTTAATCATGTTTATATTTATCCTCATTGTTATTTTAAATTCAATGACTGTCAATACTTGTAGATTAATTTTTTTTACTTTTGGCTTTATGTTATTTTTATTTTAATTGATTAACTAGTCTCTCTTCTCTGGTTTAGTTTTCAATTGCCTCAGAAAACTTTTCTGGTTCAGTTATCATTTATTTTCTTCATATAGCAAATACTTAATGGTTGTCTACTGTGCAAGGTACCATGTGAGATACGAAGATTACCAAGAAGAGAAAACATGGTTCCTAACTTAATTGAACATAAGTCCTGTGGGTAACAGACTTATGACGGGGCCATTACAACATAGAGATCTGAGAGATGTATTAGGAGATAGAATGAAAGGAACTTTAGTAACTGATTAGCTACACATACCATGTTAAGGAAATGTAGGGTTTCAGATAGTTTCTGCATTCTATACTTACATAGGTGTTGTTATGTATTTATATAGTAGGGAAGATGTTTAAGGGGAGAGATGAATTCAATTTTAAACATTGCTTTTGTGCTGTGTTTAGAAGTGCATTTTCTTGAACTATAGCCACTAGTCACACACAGTTTTTTTGTTTTTTGCCTTTCATGGGTCCTGAACTCTGGGCTGGGCGCTGTCCCTCAGCTCTTCAGCTCAAGGCTAGCGCTCTACCATTCTAGCCAGAGTGACATTTCCGGCTTTTTTGGCTTATGTGATGCTGAAGAATCGAACCCAGGGCTTCATGCATGCAAGGCAAGCACTCTACCACTGAGCCATCTTCCCAGCCCCTCACTTAAAATGTTGATAATGTCGCTGGACGTTCATGCCTGTAATCCTAGCTAATCAGGAGGCTCAAAGTTTTAAGCCAGACTGGGCAAAAATGTCCCTGTGAGACCCTTATCTCCAATTTATTAACCCCTCAAAAACCGGTAGCTGTAGCTCAAGTGGTAGAGTACTAGCCTTGAGCACAAAGAGACTCAGGGACAGCACCCAAGTCCTGAGTTAAAGCCCCACAACTGACCCCCAAAAATGGTTGATAATGTGATTTGAGATATGCTGTAAGTGTAAAATATCACACTGGATTTCAAATACTTAGAATGAAAAAAAAATTTCGAATGATTTTTATCATGATTATGATATAAATGGATTGTGTAGATAAGATATTTTAAAATTAATTTCACTTTTTTGTCATTTTGTTTTTAATGTGGATACTAGAAAATTTTAAATGACAAATTATATTTTAAAGGGTTACTGCTGGTTTAAAACACAAAGATGATTCTGAATGGAGATAAACACTTAAAAACCATTGGTATATGAAAGGTAGATAGAAAGGGTATTTGTGCTGGTGTCCAGAGAGTACACGATGCATAAAGAAAAGAGGAGTTGAGTCACAGGAGCAAAACAGCATTAAGTGGGTGAAGATCAAAAAGAACTAGTAAAATAATTCTGCCCAGAATGAGTGCTAACCCAGAAGAGGAGAGCTTTAATTAAGAGAGAGGGGTACTATCAAGTAGTATGGTGAGTCACGTTAAGAATAAAATGAGCAGATCAAGAAAATAATTTAAGGAGAGAAGCCAAATTAAGATGAACAAAAGACAAAATTGTCCTTTTACCAGTTTGACTGATTAGAAAGGAACAATATTTGGGTATTGATGGATTGGATGTGCAGAAGATGTAGGGAGCACAGTTGAGGAAGAAGGCATTTTGCCTTTTCTTTCTATATCGTGTACTCTTTCAGGACACTGGAATTAATACCCTTACTTTTCATCTACCCTTTATATACCAATGACTTTTTTTTTTTTCATTTTGGTAAATACTGTTTTATATGGTCAGAGGCACATAAGCATTGTGTCTTCGTGTTCCTCCCTTAAAAATATCCTCCTTTGGTTTCACTGTGGGTGAATGCCTAGAGTCTTGTATAATTTAACCAGTCCTGGCATATTTTAGGTCTAACTTCCACGAATGAGAGAAAACATATGCCATTTGTTTCTTTGAACTTGGTACCAATGATTTTTAAATGTTTATCCATATCTACCATTGTGTCCTAAACAGCAAGATGGAAATTGAGAATCCAGTGATGTTTATTACTAATTTTAAGTCTAATTTTAAGAGGTGAGAGTCTCAAAGTGAGATCAGCTATATGGTTCTCATTTCTGCATCACTTTCATTATTCTCTTTATTCTCATAGGAAGGAAGATAGGGATTTGGGAGAGTAACTCAGTGATAATTTATGTGAAGACCCTAGTGCTAATCCTCAGCATTCACACAGAAGAGTATCTGTAGGAAGAATGAGTGTGTATATGTAAAATAGATAGTATCACTGGATTACATTTAAATTTTTCCCTATCATTAAAATTGTCTTTGCTAGCCGGGTACCGGTGGCTCACGCCTGTAATCCTAGTTACTCAGGAGGCTGAGCTCTGAGGATCTTGGTTCAAAGCCAGCTCGGGCAGGAAAGTCTGTGAGACCCTTATCTCCAATAAGCCACTAGAATACCGGAAGTGGTGCTGTGGCTCAAGCAGTAGATTGCTCACCTGGAGCTGAAGAGCTGAGAGACAGCACTCAAGCCCTGAGTTCAAGCCCCACTACCAACAACAACAAAAAAAATTGTCTTTGTTGAGCTAACTATATAGAAAGTAATCTTCAAAAATACCTCAGTATTTATTCCAGAGTAAATAAAAGTCTTTCTGGAGTGTTTTTTTTTTCTTTTTTAGCGTTTGCTCTAAATTTTATGAAAAAAATCTTAACAGCTTATCATCAACAGCTTTTGCACTTAAAAGCTAAGAATAACTCCTTCCAAGGACCACTGTTATAAATTCCATACTTAGCAATTACTAGTTTGGTATTTCCACTGGGGCCTTACTAATATTTATTTGTTTATTTTTGTCGCTTGTGGGGCTTGAACTCTGGGCCTGTGCGCTGTCTCTCAGCTCTTCAGCTCAAGGAGAGGGCTCTACCGCTTGAGTCACAGTACCACTTCTGGTTTTCTGGTAGTTAATTGGAGGTAAGAGTCTCACAGACTTTTCTGCCAGGGCTGGCTTTGAACCAAGATCCTCAGGGCTCAAGCCTCCTGAGAAGGTAGGATTACAAGTGTGAGCCTCTGGCACCTGGCTTATTAATATTTAAAATGAATCATGTCATTGATTGCAACTCCCGATTTTCTCCTGACCAAAAACCTTTTATAGTTGCAAGTTTTCCCAACTCATTTGACAGCTTATAGTTTCCTGACTTTTTTTCCCCATCTAGTTTTTTTAATCTTTAGTTTAAAAGTAGCTTAAAATATGAGCCAAAGCACACTGTTTAAAGTCCAAATCAGATTGTGTCATTCTTCTGTTCCAAGCCCCTCATAACATTACCTTATTTGTAAAAGGCAATGTCTACC